TAACTCCTTCCCAAAAATGCTATTCAAATTGATTTGAACTTGCACTTCAACCAGCTGGAAAGAAAGGAAAATTAGCTTATATGTATTAGATGATGTAACAGTACGGTTGCGTACAGAAAAACTAGGAAACGTCACTGTCTTATTAAGCAGTTCTGATCAGTATTATGTGTTACTGTTTCATTGAATGGCGTTTAAATCTTATATGTTAATAGACCAAATTACGTATACATTTACCTCGATAACAGACTGTAAATGCATTTGCAACACTGTGACTAGCACTGTATAATCACACGCCTCCGAAATGTAACTATTAGCATACTTGGAACTTCAGCTTCTCCAAATAATTTTCCTATTTTAACTAACATGCTACAGCAAAACAAAGTGGATTAGAACACAAATCACATACTAGACAATCCGCACAACCATTCCATATCACAAACTGTAGACTACAAGCACTTTCACAGCATCGCTAAAATTTGATTGAGCAATGGATAAGTTGATGTTAAGTTTACCGATCCAGTGCTAAATATTAGTCAGTTTAATGACAGCATAAGGCGTAATTCAACCAAGATGTCTCGTGAAAATTTCGGGTAAATGTAACAACGAGAAGAAAAGTACAGATTAGACTGGTTCCCAGTAAGTTTCCAGCCGAGACGTAGACGAAATTAAGTGAAAATCTTTCAGGAACTAATTCAATTAGCTCTATTTTTTTTTTTTTTATTTTTGATTACAGCTTGATTCCACACTGCATTTTTGGTACGAGTATGGAATTTTCAGCGTGGATATCGGTAGCCCAAAATTCGCAGGCCGACCATAGATATCAGGTGTGCGTCGGCGAGGGCTCGAACCCCGGACCATGTGCATGGTCGGCGAGAGTCCTAACCACTGTGCCACCGACGCACACGGAAGCGATCTGATTAGCCATCAACCACCTTAGGTCTCACTAGAGATATCAAGATTGGTATCCCAAACTTCAGAAAAATTGAGAAGACTCTGTGAAATAATAATCGAAAATGACTCTCACTGGTGCTTCAACCTTCATGGAAAACTTTCACTGACCCGAAAATCTCGAATACAAACGCAGTAACAACTTAGTTCGCCATCGTTTAGCATCATAACACTACTACCAGTTTACAGTAAGTTGCCAACTATACTCATTCTGCAAATTTCGAAAGTTCAGTTCGACCCTGAAAGTTCATGCGATAAGACATATATCAAGACAACCACTTTCTTTGAATTGTACGAAATTTGTGAGATGCATCTCATAAACCTACAAACAGTAAAAGATTCCCTCCTGTTTGGTGACATCTGGCTAGCATGTACTTTGGAAACACTTCAGACACCGCGAAAACTACAGTCAAATAATTCTAACACAGACATGTGCGGCCTATCATTTAGCAAGTAGGGCACTATAGTTGTAACTGAACAGCAAGATAGTGAAGGTACCTGCGCATATACTCAAGTAGTGGAAACCGTTCAAGTTAACTAGCCAAGGAAGCAAGTGTGGCATGATCCACAAATTGGAAGTAGGATCAAAAACACTTGTTAGTCTATGGAATATGATCTTCATGAGAACCACAGCTTCACAGTGAAGCAACTGTGTAATTTATTACGAGAAAGAATAAAAATACATGGGTGCTTTACAAAAATACGTACCTTCACAGATCAGGTCGTGACACTGTCACAGAAATGACGACAAGCTCTGACACGGTTACGAGTTTAGATGTCACACTCAGCGGTCCAACTCACACTTTAAAGTGCCCGTGTCCAATGACCAATGTAGATCAGACGAACAAATTTACCATGATGGGGATTGAAGATATAAGTTACGGTACAAATTAACAGCACCCAAAACAGATAATACTCTCAGGTATTCGGCAGTATGTAATAAATGGCACTTTCATTTACAGGGTGGTTATCTAGCCCAATTATCTTCTACGATTATTGTTAGAAAGTGGCCACTTCCAGAGTCTCACTAAATTCTGGGATTCTACTCGTTTCCTAATTTAGTCGGGAAACACATTTCTGCCAAGCAGCAGGGCTTATAGTTCTACCTTTCCTCCGTGGGACAACTTGTAGTTCGAGGAAGCTTTATTCCTAATCGAGAATACAATCGGACCACTTACGCACCGACTGTTGAAGCTAAATTTATATGTAGGTAAACCACCTGAAAGCACTTCTAGTGTATGTCATTTTGCCGAGATCAAAGTTTTTCCTAAATTCTGGTGGATTGTTATTTCTGTAAGGTGCACTACATCTCCTTATATGACTTGTTGACCCAAGCAGACTGCCGTACCCTGGACACATTGACTTCACGCGTCGGTAAACGACTAAAATAATTCTGTTTTAAGTTTAGTTTGACATTCAGGCTCTGGTATTTCCCACTAAAAACGCTTATTCTGGAGTAACGTTTAATAGCGACTGTCTAACTTCCAATCAAAATCATCTAGTGCAGTCCTACGGGAGGTTAAACGCCAGCATGGGTATCTCGATGGCAACGTGTCTGAGCGGAGTTTACAAGATTTGATATGTTCTCCCCTCCACGAAAATGTGCCTCGGTTGCACAGTGGTTTGTACTCTCGCCGACCATGCACATGGTCCGATGTTCGATTCCCTGCCGACGCACATCTGATATCTATGGTCAGTCTGGAAAATTTGGCCTACCGATATCACATGCTGAAAATTCCATACTTGTACCGAAAATACAGTGTGTAATCAAGCTGTAATGTAAAATATAAAAAGAGAATCTGCATAAGTCACATGATAATCCTAAAATTCGAAGGGTAATATCTTTGATAATGTCTGAAATACGAAGAAAAGTAGGATATATAATGAAATTTTTTATCATGTAAGAGTGTTTCTAACATCTGGGAACGTTTCGATCAGCTAACAAGCGAAAACCGAATTTCCAAGGATACGTATTCTCATGTAAATACCTAACAGCTATCTTTCATAGTGCAAGAAGTTAAAATGATTCAATAAAAATGATTGATAAACTTCCGTGGTAGTTTCCATAGTGACAACACATAATCATTCATACCTTGACCTGATGCCATAGTTGAAATCTTGTTTCGTACGTTTACGGACTTGAGATTTTATGTAACTAATCTGTGATTATATTTGGGATAACATAACTTTATTTTTTGGAAATACTGAATTCATTTCCTTGCACACTTATTTTTTAGCCGCATTGTATGGTAGTTACGCTTCTAGACGGTCGAGGAACCCTGTTTAGCAATCCTGATAGTTTTAGGATTAATTCAATGTAAGATTACAATGAATGTACGCACACTATAACGCTGAAAGATTTTGAAGTCAGAATTCATCTACCTGAGTGCCTTAGAAGGCATCTCTGTGAAGATCTTAGTCTGTTTAAAGGATGTAAAGAGGCTTTGACCAAACATTAGGTGAACATTATCTATTGGGTAAAGAGCCATTCACGGTTGGTGCCGTAGCTCTGATTTTTGATAAACAAGTTCATATCTATGTGAATATCGGAAAACAAGATAGGTGGGCGCAAAATATTTTGTAGTGGAAAAGATGTGACATAGCTCCAATGTGTGTGTTACATCGTTATTAACGTTGAAGAGGATGGCAAGGATTTTCCTGCTGGTGAAGTGGAAATGTAACTCTCACGGCCACCTAAAGGTATATTTGTTGGTGATGATAGGAATGGGGCGTACAGATACACAATCACACCACAACGCTGTCACTGAGCCCTTGTCTGTCGAATATCGTCCTGACGACGGTGTATTCTAGTCCGCATGGATAGCCAATTGGTAGCTGAAGCTCAATTGGTTTGGCGAGCTTCTTTTATCCCTTGCAACCTAACAAACGCGCGGTCTCAACAATCGTGAAGTTTATTAATGTTTTAGTCTGAAAATTTAGAAACAGGCTGTTGTTATACAAATGCATTCGAAAATACTCTAAATTTATAATTGGTGCTGATTTAAGTCACCTGTTCTAATGTGCTCGTCCGCTAAATTAATCATAAGTGACGATCATGTGTTCTAAACATTTGTTTTTCAGATCGTGTATGATAATCCGGAAATATTTTTCGTCGTAACGTTTCCAGTCCCATGAAGAAATCTTGAGGACGACCTAATAATATTTTTTTTAATATTTTTGATTTACAGCTTGATTCCACACTGTATTTTTGGTACAAGTATTGAATTTTCAGCATGGATATCAGTGGCCCAAATTTTGCAGGCCGACCATAGATATCAGGTGTGCGCCGGTGTGGGCTCGAACCCCGGACCATGTGCATGGTCGGCGAGAGTACAAACCACTGTGCCACTGTCTCTTATAAGTGATATTTTCAAGTATTGGTTTTGTTGAATTCACATTCTACTAATTTTACGCCAGAATAAGCGTTTTTAGTGGGAAATACCAGAGCCTGAATGTCAAACTAAACTTAAAACAGAATTATTTTAGTCGTTTACCGACGCGTGAAGTCAATGTGTCCAGGGTACGGCAGTCTGCTTGGGTCAACAAGTCATATAAGGAGATGTAGTGCACCTTACAGAAATAACAATCCACCAGAATTTAGGAAAAACTTTGATCTCGGCAAAATGACATACACTAGAAGTGCTTTCAGGTGGTTTACCTACATATAAATTTAGCTTCAACAGTCGGTGCGTAAGTGGTCCGATTGTATTCTCGATTAGGAATAAAGCTTCCTCGAACTACAAGTTGTCCCACGGAGGAAAGGTAGAACTATAAGCCCTGCTGCTTGGCAGAAATGTGTTTCCCGACTAAATTAGGAAACGAGTAGAATCCCAGAATTTAGTGAGACTCTGGAAGTGGCCACTTTCTAACAATAATCGTAGAAGATAATTGGGCTAGATAACCACCCTGTAAATGAAAGTGCCATTTATTACATACTGCCGAATACCTGAGAGTATTATCTGTTTTGGGTGCTGTTAATTTGTACCGTAACTTATATCTTCAATCCCCATCATGGTAAATTTGTTCGTCTGATCTACATTGGTCATTGGACACGGGCACTTTAAAGTGTGAGTTGGACCGCTGAGTGTGACATCTAAACTCGTAACCGTGTCAGAGCTTGTCGTCATTTCTGTGACAGTGTCACGACCTGATCTGTGAAGGTACGTATTTTTGTAAAGCACCCATGTATTTTTATTCTTTCTCGTAATAAATTACACAGTTGCTTCACTGTGAAGCTGTGGTTCTCATGAAGATCATATTCCATAGACTAACAAGTGTTTTTGATCCTACTTCCAATTTGTGGATCATGCCACACTTGCTTCCTTGGCTAGTTAACTTGAACGGTTTCCACTACTTGAGTATATGCGCAGGTACCTTCACTATCTTGCTGTTCAGTTACAACTATAGTGCCCTACTTGCTAAATGATAGGCCGCACATGTCTGTGTTAGAATTATTTGACTGTAGTTTTCGCGGTGTCTGAAGTGTTTCCAAAGTACATGCTAGCCAGATGTCACCAAACAGGAGGGAATCTTTTACTGTTTGTAGGTTTATGAGATGCATCTCACAAATTTCGTACAATTCAAAGAAAGTGGTTGTCTTGATATATGTCTTATCGCATGAACTTTCAGGGTCGAACTGAACTTTCGAAATTTGCAGAATGAGTATAGTTGGCAACTTACTGTAAACTGGTAGTAGTGTTATGATGCTAAACGATGGCGAACTAAGTTGTTACTGCGTTTGTATTCGAGATTTTCGGGTCAGTGAAAGTTTTCCATGAAGGTTGAAGCACCAGTGAGAGTCATTTTCGATTATTATTTCACAGAGTCTTCTCAATTTTTCTGAAGTTTGGGATACCAATCTTGATATCTCTAGTGAGACCTAAGGTGGTTGATGGCTAATCAGATCGCTTCCGTGTGCGTCGGTGGCACAGTGGTTAGGACTCTCGCCGACCATGCACATGGTCCGGGGTTCGAGCCCTCGCCGACGCACACCTGATATCTATGGTCGGCCTGCGAATTTTGGGCTACCGATATCCACGCTGAAAATTCCATACTCGTACCAAAAATGCAGTGTGGAATCAAGCTGTAATCAAAAATAAAAAAAAAAAAATAGAGCTAATTGAATTAGTTCCTGAAAGATTTTCACTTAATTTCGTCTACGTCTCGGCTGGAAACTTACTGGGAACCAGTCTAATCTGTACTTTTCTTCTCGTTGTTACATTTACCCGAAATTTTCACGAGACATCTTGGTTGAATTACGCCTTATGCTGTCATTAAACTGACTAATATTTAGCACTGGATCGGTAAACTTAACATCAACTTATCCATTGCTCAATCAAATTTTAGCGATGCTGTGAAAGTGCTTGTAGTCTACAGTTTGTGATATGGAATGGTTGTGCGGATTGTCTAGTATGTGATTTGTGTTCTAATCCACTTTGTTTTGCTGTAGCATGTTAGTTAAAATAGGAAAATTATTTGGAGAAGCTGAAGTTCCAAGTATGCTAATAGTTACATTTCGGAGGCGTGTGATTATACAGTGCTAGTCACAGTGTTGCAAATGCATTTACAGTCTGTTATCGAGGTAAATGTATACGTAATTTGGTCTATTAACATATAAGATTTAAACGCCATTCAATGAAACAGTAACACATAATACTGATCAGAACTGCTTAATAAGACAGTGACGTTTCCTAGTTTTTCTGTACGCAACCGTACTGTTACATCATCTAATACATATAAGCTAATTTTCCTTTCTTTCCAGCTGGTTGAAGTGCAAGTTCAAATCAATTTGAATAGCATTTTTGGGAAGGAGTTAACGTGTGTTTACGGTGTTTTCTTAATGAAGAGCCCACTTTCTTCAAATGTGTACGTCTCGAATGCAGAGGCTAAGCTTCTGAGGTTGAAAGGGAACCTGACTAACGAACTGATTACTTCTGAGATTAAGTACATCAGTTATCTTAAAAAAGTTCTAAAGGTAAATCCTTACTTTCCAATGATTGTGCTAGTACTTTGCGAGACCATTGTGTGATCATAGGTACTTACCAGAGGATATACATGCTGAGATATTTGGACGCCTGGTGCCCATTTTAAACGTCAACGAGACTCTTTTGGAGTCCCTGCTGACGGTTGGAGTTGAGAAAGCCTTCTTGAAAATTTCTCCGTGTTTAAAACTGTATGCAGACTATGCTCGTCGCTATCAGACAAACGTTGTCTTTATGGAGGTAAGTTGTGGCAAATTACTTTCATGGAGTGATTGAAATAATATGATCCCATGGATTACTTTAAACACTACTCAATAGTAGAAACATTTATTAATGAGCTTATAGAGTATCCGAGTGTTAAAATAGAACAGGGCCGGAGTTGAAGAATGGTGATTGTAAATAATTCATATAAGAATCTTATAAAACCGAACTTTTGTCTTCCATTGGTTTTAAGGTGTAGAGATGTGCGTAGATCAAATAGATCCCAACGTCTTAGAACCCGTAATACCTGACACTACTAACAATGAGGTGAATGCACCTGGGATTTTTGGGGGGAATGGTACTTAAATTAACTCTCAGAATAGACGACTGGGGCATTGGACGGAACACTTTGTAGAGTAATCCAGCTGGCTTGCAGCCACATCAAACTTACCCGCCATCGAGCATTTGCCTGAGTGGGATGTAAACATGGGTGTACTTGAGGTCGCGAAAACTGTCTTTAATCCAGAACGAGGTGAAGTATCAGGGCCTGATGGTGTGGCTTCAGGAATGATGATGGCCCATTGACTAGATCAGCTTAGTTGTTGGTCAACGTGAGGAAATCGGAGATAATACCGTTAGACTGGTGCAAAAACTGATTATCCAAGTTTATAAAGAGAGAAACAAGTCTTCACGAGGTACTCATAGGGGGACAAGCTCGACTAATACAGTATCTGAAGTTCTAGGCTCAATAATCATGCTGTACTTGCGAGAAACAAGTCTGGAATTGACCAGTCAAGCCTTATGCCAGAAAGATGGTGTATTGACCATATCTCCAACCTTTGACAGATTTTGGAACGTTAGAATTCTTACAGGCGTTCAACACTTAGCTCGAAGACGTCATTTGATTCAGTCGACTGAGAGGTGTTGTGGAAATGTCTGGCCACTAAGGGAGTAATGAGAAGGTGTATTGCGCTAATCAAAACACTTTATTCAAAGTCATCCATGTTACAGTTTGTGGAGAGTTGTGACGTGGAGTGACGACAACCAATAGTTCCCTTCAGACACTCACAATGTCTCAGTTTTTGTTTAGTATTTATTAATTTTTTTTTTGAAAGTTGATTTACAGCTTGATTCCACACTGTATTTTTGGTACAATTATGGAATTTTCAGCATGGATATCGGTAGCCCAAATTTTGCAGGCCGACCATTAGTACATGTACTAAGGGATGTTACCCTAATCGTCTTTAGTGACCCAGTGATTGATTTGTTATTAGTGAACAGTTTCGTCAACTTGGATTATGCGAATGATGCTGTCCTTCTGAATAAAGATGCTGACAAAGCGTGGGGTTTTTGAACACCTTGGAGAGAAATCTTGGTATGTTAGGTACACAATTGGCTCGTGTTAACTGTGAGGAGATGATGCAGGACTGGTCTGCATCAACTGTTAATTTGAGGATAGAGAGTGAAGTGGTTGAACGTGTTAGTAAATTGCTATCACGCATCTTGATTCTTCGAGGTGTAATTCGTCAAAAAGATGTAGCGAAGTACATAGTATCACATCATTCATCTTTGTAGTTACAATGGGATTTGCGAGAGAGGCGGATTGTGAGAAGGGATTTTTGTTAACAAAAAATCTATTGTTCTATATGCTTTGCTTAATGCACATTTTAGTCAGACAGTTAGTATTCTAATATGTTTTACTGTGACTTGTTTTATTTCCAGACTTGTATTACATTCACGCCTGGTCTACTGGAATTCATAAATAAACAAGAAAACTTACCAGATGTTAATTTGCAACTGGCTGCATTTCTAATCATGCCTATACAGCGTGTTCCCCGGTTAGTTTCCAATTTGTGAAATTTTTCAGATGATTTGTCAGTTTATACCATACGTTGATTGAGGTCTGATAAAAACGATCTAGGAGATGTAACCTTTGTGTTAAACATTATTGACCTGTGTACATACAAAAGATTTATTATGCATTCACTGAGAATATTAAAGAGAATAAAAAATTGTGAATGAGTGCTTCGACTTAGATTACTATATATGAGTACAATGCATATTTGATTCAGTATGACAACTAGCTTCTATGTGATAATCAGTGAGTCGAATCCTAGTGGCGATCGTCACTTGGATAAATTAAGTCACATGTGTTATCGTCTCAATTGCATTTAATAAGTACTTTAATTAATTGAAAGTTATGATTTCATAATATTGCACCAAGTGAGGCAGTGGTTCAGTAGTGGAATGCTCGTGAATCATGCACGCGGCCTGGGTTCGACTCCCGACCACTGAATTCTCAAATCTCACCTATCTGGAAATAAGTCAGGTAAAGATGGAAGGATTAATGTGAGACCAACCATCTTGCAGTGTAGGTAAAGACCGTCGTTACTAAAACGTCAAAGCACGAACTTAAAGCCCGATGCTCCTCATGGAACTCAAAGAAATAAAAAGTGGTCAGTGAAACTCGTCTGTGCAACAGAAGTCGTTGGGTGTTAGTTCACTAGGGAGCAGTGTATGTTCCATTTATTGTGTTGACTTCTTTGCCTTTCTCATACACTTGTTACACATATAATAATCTTTTTTCAGGTACTCCTTAATGCTTCAAGAACTCGTCACTATTTATCTTCAACTAGATGGTCTGACTAGTACTGAGGCGAATGATGTTGCTGTAAGTATCACTCAAGCCGCTCATCATGACAACATGATACCAGAATATGCAGCCACACTTATTTTGAAGTTGTGGGAAAATTATAAACAAAGGGGTTTCAGTTCACCATCTAACAGTTCTAATTTTCCAGTTGTACGAAGTTATGTTCATCGGATGAAACCCTGTACAATTATTCTGTTGGCAGGTTTTGCTAGTGTTGTGTCAACAGCAACATTCCTAAATGAACAGATAAGAATAAGTGAACAGGCAACAAAGGCTGCATTGTTGCAATCGAGACTTTTGGGGAAATGGTCACGTAATTTAATTCTGGTACCTGGTCGGAAGTTATTAAAGTATGGAATCGTAAAGAAGGTAGGTTTTATGAATACGAAAAGTGAATTCTGTAACACTATACAGTAAATTAACATGATTTTACTTTGGAATTATGATTGTGTTGGGAAGACAACTGCTTTTGTCCCCAAATTTCCTTTGTTTCCTAAGGGTTTATTCTTCGAAGGCTCTTATACTCGCTAATATTATGTGACGTGATGTATTTCTTAGAATCTGTTTAGGATTCAGGTATACAAGTTAACTGTATAAACGCAGGACTTTCGAGCTGTGTGACGCTAATCGCAATACTTAATTAAAGACTACTTGTCTCCGTGTAAGTTAAAATAAAGCGAAATGTGGTTCAATGAGCATATACAGATTACTTCACTAAGCTGCCTGCAACTAGTTTTGGGAGTGGTGATCCTGTTCAGTTGCTTAAGTGTCAGGTAATAAGAGTTTTTAGGCTCATGAGCTCCACTTTAGCCTTGTGTTCAATGGTATTTTGTATGTAGTTACTTTTGTTTTGTGTGATGTACATATATTCATTGTTTCCTTTGTTCTAGAAAAATTCACTGGATGGAGTGGCTGAACCTCGCTTACTGGTGATCCTGTCTGACATACTGGTGTATGCTACACCCCGAACTCAGACAGACTTGGAATCTATTTTCAGTAATAAGTTGGTTGTTGGTCGAAAATATCCAGAATTTTTAAAATCCTTTTCTGCGGGAAAAACACCCTTAAAGTGTGTCAAACTTATGCAGGGAAGAAATAAGGCATATCCACTGACCCGAGTTTCCAAATATTCCACGCCAGTTCGCTCCGAGAATTCTGTTTCTCAGAGTCTTTTGGATTCGGATGACTGTTTGACAAACAGTAAAGTCTGCTTTTCATGTGTTTCTGTTTATCCCCTACATCACTGTCATATCCAAGTGCATTTTAGAACATCGTCCACCTTTCTGCAACCTATTCCCGAGTCTCCTGAAAACAGATCAAATAAAACCAATTCAGTGTTTGTTTCCCCAGGATCTACTGTGAATTTTCATAGTAAGTGTACATTAATTTCTTTAGTGAATTATGAGTTTGAATATCGGCTTCATTTTTGATTTGGCTTTGGATGTATTTACTTTCGGAATGAATGGATTCTGTCAGACCGAAGTCTGACGAAATCAAAGACTAAACAAATAAGACTCGTTTTGAATTTGACAAGTTGTGTCATATGTGAAACTTAAGATACGTCTTCATGTATGTTGTAGATTAAACTCAGAATGCATCGGTCAAGGGGTTTGAGTTTGTGATTGTACAGCATTCTTTTTAAAGACAGAAATATGTGAAGGTTGTTCATTGCTGATGAAAGTATTGGATGGGTTCTGTTGAACTCAGGTGTAGAACAGTGAAGGGATAAGGCAACTCAACTCTTGGTACAGGCAACTTCTAATGACTGCTTACGTCAGGTAGCCATAACGGGTATTATGTGATTGCATCACAATAGTCTGTTGAATTAATCACATTGTGTTTCCTGCCTACTGTATCAAGGGTTCGAATTCGGTTTCTCAATGACTTCTTTCGTTCAGGGGAAAGTCAGTTTGAAGTCGTAAGAATGAAACTATTGTGAGGGAGATCACTGTAAACTTGCTTGATTTCGATTTAAATCAAATAAATTGTTTGACTTTATCCACTATGGAATGATTTAAATTGGCGTTTTTTTTTGTTTTTCAGATCGTACGGCGTCTACACCACTCGTATTTGATGGATGTTCATGTGATGCTTCTCCTGTGGTTAAATTTAATAAATTTGATTCATCAATTAAATCCGATAAAGATGAAGAGTTGTCTAAACCTTGTCAGTCGGTGAATGAATACAGTTTTTCCGTAAGTCTTATGCAATCATGGGATATATTTTGTTTCAGTCCATAATAGCGGTGATGGTGCATTGGGATTTAGTATTCCCTTTATTGGCTCCAGTTTGATTTTTGAAGAAAGAGGCAGAGGGAAATGGAGAACTCACGTTTTGTTGTTTACTTGTCTCTAGTATGTCGGCTGGGATGTATCATTTTTCCTACTGGTACTCTAATTGTGTATAATGAATGATAATCGATGCATTAGATTGTTGTTTCATGTCATTCTGAAGTACTATGATGTCATGAATTGAAAGTCGGTCTTAATGAAAGATATTCTTTTCATTAAATTCTCTTTAGTTCCTTACAGTAGTTATCACCACTGTCTGACTGACTGGTTTCAGCGTAGAACTTTGCACCGATGTGCAGCAGTTCGAGTTGTCACACTTCACTTAGCACACAAAGTAAGAGAAGAAAATAAAAAGAAATGCGAAATGCAGACAGCAAACAGAGATATGAGGCAGAAAGAACAGTTATATCGAAGAGCCATATAGGATTTTTGGATATTGTAATTCACAGGGGGTGGATGCATCTGCGCCATTGAGAACGATTTTGAGCCATATCACTGATTTTCTCCAGTCAATGGTTTTCATCGTCCCGAGGACCCCAACGAGGAAGTCTACATCTTTCTAGGTTATCAGCACAATAAGAGCGAGGTATTCGGTGAATACATTTTCAACATTGAGTATAAAACTCGTCTGATTTTAAGTCAGTAAACGCATTCTATGTGACGAATGTTTTCACCACATACCTGCCTATTGTTGCAATGTTGAAATTTACTTCATAACTGTAGGGAGGTGAAGAGAATTTCGATAAAAAGAATATTCGTTATGCAGTTCTACTACTGGCTCATATCACGCTATAGTTAGCTATTCAATTATGTATCTATTGTCAAGTGATCCTATTTGGTACCAGTTTGCTAGCGAGTAAGAATCATACTCACTTAGATGCTTACTTTAAACCAGAAAATTAGTTAACTCAGTTGGATTTGTACAACACCTATTGATTAAAACTACTGTTCATGCCTAGCTGTCAGCCTTTGTCTTAGTCACACGTTTATGAGTGGTGAAAATTTCCGATGAAGATGTGCGCGAGTTGATTATCGTACCAATGAGGTGTATGTTCTTGTTGTTATCTGATCAGTCCTGCTGCCTCCTTACCTCGACTGACTTCTTATATCACATTCAGTGTGATCATAACCGCTTTCGCTTTATTCAGTACTCGAAAGTGATTTTATTATTCAGTACTTGTTTTCCTGATAATATTATCGGTAGTGTATTCATATTTGGAATTTTTGTACTCAACTTACAAAGGGATTGTTGCATATGTGGTTGATATTCTCGACTCATTTCAAATTACAACTTGATCACATTATGCTAACTTTTATGTTACATCAATGCGTCACCCGAAGTGAAGGTATGTAACGGTCAATTCCGAAGTGTTGTCATAGTTTACCAACCAGTTTGGCGATCCGACGATTTAGTTGGGTGATATAGTAGTGCATTATTTTGTGTTTATTGCTTTGTCTCATTTCAGTCGGCTGTTTACATCTGAAATCTCTCCTTTGAATCAATTTACTTCTAAACATAGGATGTATTCGTCTTTGGAGAGTCTATATGTTTTCTCTTGTAACTTTTCTTTTTTGTATATATTTGAGTGAGGATGATTTTCGATTACTTAGCAATCAGTATTTCTTGTAGGTACATTGTCGTGATGCTAGTTTCACAATTGTTACTAAAGATTTAGCAGGAGCCGAGGAGTGGATATCTAGTCTCGAGACAGCCATTGAGTAAGTTTCATTCTTCTTTGTACTTCGATTGTAAACCGTGGGTATTTGGCCGTTGGTATAATGAAATCGTCTTGTAGTTCGAGAAATCGTTTTGTATTTTCTGAGCTTTGACGTGTAATTCTGTTGTCTTAAGTCAAAAATTCACGAAGAACAGCTAACAGCCTCATGCTCATACGCCTCTAGATATTCAGTGTGTTATTTCATAGTCGTGTAGATGTTGAGTCAAGGTATACAATGAATGGGTTGATCTGACAAATAAACGGCTTAGTTTGTAAATGCATCATGAGGGCTTCTGACCTATATTGTGGGTAAATTGTATGTGATTCCGTGTTAATGAACTGTGTGCTGTTCATAGTCATGTAGCTATGTTTTCGTTCAAGTTAGCAGAGGAATTCCTGAGTCTCGTACAATGAGATAATGGTGTTGAATAATTGTCTTTTGCTTTTGGATAAATGATGCATACGTGTAACGGAAAGCAATTGTAAAATATATCCAGGAATAATTTCGATTGACACAAGTTGGAAGATTCCAAGTGGTTTGTTTGTAGCCGTGACAAGAGCTTCCCAGTAAGCTATCCTTTAAGGTTGTCTCAACCTCCTAAATGGTTTCGGTGGTCAGTGTATTTATTGACCGTTCTACGCTTAGTCTGTATTCCATAAGTTGGTACAGGCCAGTCATGTGAGGTTGTCCTACATTCACTAGGGAGTGTATTGTGTCAAACATGCTTAAGTTTTGTCCAGGTTCTCAATAGACGTTTTCCTATTGATGTGTGTCCTCAGGGGACACAGATATATCACATTTCGATTTACATATTTATTTACTAACTTGATGTGGTCCTTTCTATTACCTGTTTATTATTTTTTCTTGCCTTTACCTACTCAGAGCCGTCAAGACAGCGCGACAGAGTCTTCGTAAGGAAAGTAGTGCTAAATGGCCAATGCGTGCTTCCGATTTTATTCAGTTTGAACAGTGGTTGGAGCAAAAGCGCTCAGCGGAAGAGGTATGAAGCATTTGATTTACAAGTTGCCCAAAATACGGTGTTGTTAATGGTTTTATTAATGGTGGTATCGAAGGAAATTTTATAAACGCGTGTAAAGTATTATCGTGAAGAAAGAGGTATATGCTTTTTATCCTTAGGGTGGAGTTTCATCTTTTGTCTGGAAGTGGTGTATTTGCTTCGAAATATCACATTTAGGATGAATGTGATGTAGTGTTGTGGGTATGAAGGTAAAGCAGCAAGTTGTAGTGAATAGCATGTTCGACGCTATTTAGTTTTTCACACGTGAGTTGGTGAATTCCTACTGTTTTGCAACATCGTAAATTCGTCGCTAACTTTGTAGTTTTTCAGTTATGATATAGATATTTTAGAAAGCATTGGTAGGGGAACATCGCTGTACTGCTCTGGTCGTTTAAAATGTAAGACGTGGGTTATTTGATGGTACTGTGGTGAGAGCTGGCTGTTAGTCAAAATTGGTGGACAGTAATCTTCGTCAATGTTTATGTCCCCAATATTGGTCATGAGAAAAATGAGAACAAAGGCTTTTCGTAGGCGGATACAGTTAACATACAGATGATCTGACATTAAAGAAACAGCCACAAAGAGAAACAACCAATCAGAAGACTGTGATTTTCTGCTAACAATAATCTATACTATGTACATGAAAATCTATAAATATGTGTTGATTTCCTTAATAAAGGGTCTGTTGCCTGGCCCTCGTCTTCTGTTGTTACAGTACATCTTCTACAGGAGAAGTTGTGCACAATCTCTTTTCATTTAAAATTAAAATTTCAGTGTGTGGCTAAACGTGGAACTATTCTAAATGACGGTTTGACAGTTTCATTCTCATTTTCCTGTTTCACAGGGATTTTGGTCACCGCCACATTTCATGCTTATTTCATTTTCCCTCAATGTGCACTATACTAGTGCAATTGAGTGATGAAATTACTCTAGGGGAAGAGGAGAAGATGCATCTTTGAAATTTCAGTTGTCAGTCCCATTGATTCAACTTTGATTTTGTGCAACGCATGGACTGCCACTTTTAAGTAATTCAGTATTGTATGATTAGGCAAAAGGACAATGCAAGAAAATTGCAAGCTCAATTCTCGAGCAATTGGTAAAATCAGGCCACGTAGCTCCACCAGAGCCGTGTTTCAAGTCCATCTACAAGGTGAAGCCAAATGGTATAAAGGGTGTCAGGTTTCGGCTTTTGTGTATGGCAGAGGCACTGGCAATTCGTCAATACAACCCCGAACTCTGTATACAGAAAAAGTTTGTCCATTGTCGTATTCTACCTTGGTCTCAACCTCTTCACTAGTCGTTCCCTGTCAAAAAAATTTAAATTATTCTTTTCTTTTTTTAAAAATTTTACTTTTAATTTGCTTTTGCTTTAATAATTAATTCACTATTATCACTCCCACATGTTCCGTTTGTACATTTTCACACCTTCTTCACACTTGTTAAATTGACACTCCACTGCCTTAACTCTCACTCAATAGCAATTTTAGCCTTGTCAAATTTGTAAGTTTGTGTCGTTGAGTACCACGTAATTTACAACTTTTATTTTTACTTCTAAAACCGCTTCCGAGTATGTATATCACTTATGTCACCCCCTACTACTCAATGATAGACCACTATAAATTTTCGGTAAACATAAATACGACTGTACAGCCTTTGAAGATAATTTCGTCGGTAAAGAAAATTTTCTACGCTGAATTTGTCTTTTTAGTCTGATTTATTCATATTGCATATATTCAATAAATTCTTAATGTCACTTTGATGTATAACACAACTCAGATGCTTCTAGAAACCAATCAACCTACTTTTCCTTTTTGGTATGATACATTTAGTCAATGAAGTGTTCCGAAATCTTTCAAAGTGTGGGAGTGTCTCAGATCGCTGATGACAGTGTTCTTGCATCCTCAAATATTCTTGACTCGTCGAAGGTGGAAAAGAAACTTGAAGAGTATCGCAGGCGTAAGTCAATAGGTTGTGAACATGAAAGGATCAATCGTTTGTCTAACATATTTTGTGACAGTGGTAGTTACGAATGTAATCGGAAGAAATCAGAGCGAAAGGCGGCCTGTGGAATTTCTCTGAGTTCAGTTATATCCAGACTAAGGAGGAAGACATTCACCGCCACTGATGCAGTAAGTTAATTTCAATCCTTGAGATCTTTTATATATATATATATATATATATTTCACACGATATTTCCTTAAATACAGTTTCCATAATACTTTGTTGGTACTTGTATATTTAATTCCTGAGTTTCCTGGTTTTGCTGAATCGAGGTATTTTTGACAGTAAAGTGTTTTGGTTTCAGCGCTGTTTTCATGACTAGTATTTCTCTCCTGCAGTGTTGCCCTTGTCCTTTGATGTTTACACACTTTTTATCAATGTCAGTGCCTTTAGACTACTGCTTTCTGAGTAGGGGAGTTGGTGAGCTCTTATCTAGAGGAACTCGATGTTGACAATACTTTTTATGTAGGGGGGGCTACCTTAGTTGCATAATTTTGCATATTGAATTTACTGTGATGATATTTCAAATGATTTAATGCTTTCGATTATTTTCAGATATCTGAATATTCAGACAGATCTGTTCGTCTGGTGTCTGTAGCTGCTATTTCAAATGAGGATGAGGTTGGTTCTAGTAGAGTTAACTCTCAAAGTCAAGTGAATACTGATAGCCGCTGTCGGTTATCAAGTTGAGGGGAATTCACCTTCTACTTGTAATATGTAATGGTGAGTATAGTTTACTCAGTATATTGTAAATATTCGTGTTGAGGTGTGTTTTTGTTTCCATGTAGTAAGTATCATTTGGGTATTTTAGAAAAAATTTTAACCTAAGATTATTAGGAGTAATGTGATGCACTGTTGGATAGCATATCATATCATTCGAAGTTACTCATTCTTGTGGATTGTGAGAAATGGCGTTTAACATGTATCCGTTTGCCTTACGAAAGTATGTCTTTTCTGTTGGTTGGTGTGTGTGTGTGTGAAGTTAATCTTCTTTACGATGATCATCTGATGGCAATTTTGTTTTCTGTTTTGAAGAAAATCAAGACTACTTACTGTTAACTTCGGGAACATGAGCGACTTTGAAAGTCTACGGAAGATTGTTAGTGATCTATTTAAAGTTCTGTTTTCCCCAACGTGTCTTATATACTCAATTGTACGTTGTAGACGATAAATGCATGTCGAGATCTATTTAAAGACTTTATAATTAGTATAGTTGATAATGTTTGCGACTGTATTCTTTGGTGTAAATTGCAGTGTCCACCCGGTGATGTTTTGCATGCCTACATTCATTGACAATCAGTTGTGCGCCTCACTCGAACAAATTAGTGTATACTAAAGTGATTTTACTGTTATATACTTGTTCCATGTCTAACGAGGTATAGGAATCGGTGTTTCAATACCTATGAATTTATGAATCCAAAGATAGTTTAAATCGAATGAATTGGTTTTCAACTAGTTTACATTCAAAGCTGTGCAAAAATATATCAGCCTTGATGAATCGTGTTGTCCGTAGTAGAAAGACAGCTTTTATGTTTCAGGAAAGAAACTATCGCAATCTTATTAGATGATCTTCCCGCATTCCTGACTTCATATTTAATACACGTGAAATATATGCGATTGTCATGAGAGCATATGTGTAGTAATTAATCAGGGTAGTGAATGTAGAAGTATTTATAAGGATTGAATTTCGAGAAACGGTTTTAATCAGTTAGCCGAAATCCACGATTGGTTAATATCTCATAATAAGTCATTTTTGTATGTACTAACGTCTAAGAAATTTTGATGATATAAAGTTCAGAGAATAGTGAGGGTTGAATCTATAGTTCAATATCCTAAATGCATTTCCTACATGAATTAGACATAAAAACTGTGTTGATCAATTCAGTTTTGGGTTCAGAAGTGACTATGGCATTTAACTAGACATAGAAGGGAGTTGAACAACTAGGTGTGTGTAGAACACCTCAATTATACGCAGTATTATTCACAATGAGGAATTTACAAAATTTTGATAATTTAAAAGTTCAGTGTGGGAAACCTTGACAGAAATTTCTCAGTCACCTGAGTAAATGGTTCTTAGTCTTTCCTCTATTTCTCCCTGTCTGTTGATAAATAATTTGTGAAGCTGTTATGTTTGTGTGTTGGATGTGGCTCAAACTTCCTCATCTTACTTTAAGTGTTTGTTTCGTGTGTGTGTGTGTATGTGTGTGGAGAGCACAAATGATGAAGGCTTGTTTAGTTAGGGTGGTGTGAGATTACACTACTTGAGTAGAAAATGTTGGTTAAAAACGATTGAATTGTACTCAGATAAAATTCTCTAAGAAGATGTATGTTTTCTTTATTCGTAAACTTTTCTATGACCATATTGCTTAATTGGTCTAGACATGAAAATTTATTGTTACGTAAGGTTTGTGAATGAATCCAAAATTGTTATCAAGGGTGTAGGATGGTTGTAGAAATCGATTTAAATGTTGGTTAGTTAGAAATTGGATATGTGAGGAGAAATGTTCTTCTGAGGTAAGGCGAAATGTGAATTTATCAAAGTACATACTCTGAGTTTAATTCATTCACTAGCTTGAAAAGGTGTTGTAGTGAATTCATATAAATGTGCTATATTTCGTTATCTATGTTCGACAGTTTTATATATATATATATCATTTGTGAATGAATACACTGTCGTTTTGACAACAAGTGTCTAGGTTAATGACTGTATAATGGAGATGTAGATTGATTAGTTCAAGGAAGTGACTTTCAGTCAATGAGTCCTGAATTCAAATCCCGCCTCACTTACTTCTGCCTCAGTAAGTGGTCTATCGTTCTAGTGCGCATAGAAGAAATATGCCTTATATCCTGGTACGTCAAAGCTGTGTTTCGGGTAGCTGATATAATCGATACCTATTTCGAATTCTGCTTCTTATTACAATTAACCCTTTCTGAGATATTCCAATGATGAAAAATAGCCTATAGAAGATAGAATGCCTCTTTCTTCTCAGTATCACACTTATTTTTCCATACGCATTAGCGTACTGAACTTCGTCGACTTCGTTATGCCTCTGGTAGTTTTGCATCTGTATGTCTTCAGACGGAATCTTGTTTCCTTTTGTCTTCATATTCGAATTGTATTCAGATTCTTGATATAATCGAGAAATTGAGGATAGTCTGGGGTCTGTTTTGTATGTTACCGATTGCCTTTTACTTGGCTCATAGCATAGATAGTTAGTCCAGCCATAATGATTCTCATTGAAAACCACGAAATATTTCAATGTAAGATTGAAATGAAATTTGGTTTGCATACATTCACTCTGCAGGCGGTTGTGTCTGTACGTATAAAAGACTAATGATGAAAATTTGATGCTGTAAGTAACTAACTTCTGTTGTTGAGTATATAAAAGTTGCATGAAATGTTTGTTTTGCTGTATGTTGTAGCACAACACATTAGAATATCACAGTTTAATGTAAGTAAATTGAGATGTGTTTATAGAGTGAAATTTGAAGAAGACTACTTGATTCATGAGAGCTATTAAGATAGAGATGTTGGTCTTCACATTTCATATGACTTGTCTGGTTAAGGCAGTCTTCATTTGACTGTATGAGCGGTTTTCAAATAGTTTTGAGCTACAGTATTTTAGTTGTTGATCGTTAAGTTAGTAAATGTATACTTTTCCCAAATTTGGAAAGTTGGCCGTTTAAGTCTTTCTATATTAGATTTTAAGACTTAATGAGTGTGAAAAATAAAGAGGTATCTGATTATTCGATTACATCTATGCGTGGACAGATTTTCTGAGTTACAAGATGTTTCGGTTTAATAAGTGTAAATAAGGTGAAACATGCACACTGACTCTTACTGTTAGCCAGCATCGACCATGGCATAAATTTCAACAAACTGTTTATACATTAGGTTTATATTGAGTTTGTCGGGTGCTTTGGGGCATATACAGATCATGGGGTAGAAATACCTCATGAAGCTACTTTCCTTGACACATTTGAATAAGGCAATAAAAGGGGCCTTTAACAGGATAAGATGTTTTCGTGTTGTGTCGTATGGTGTCTGTCGGCTACATATAAGCTGAATAACAAAATAACTGTTTGGCGTGTATGTTTCACTTTACTCACACTTGAAGTGAATTGCGAGCTTATTTTATGAGGGTAGAATAACATTGCTAAAACGGAAAATGAGAAAGAAATGATTGACATAGGAGGGTAGAATAATCAATTATGACGGAAATAGCGACGGTAGTATATTGTGAAGAGAAGCATGCCCTGGAAATTGTGGATAGTTGACATAAATGGGTACTGTTGTATAATGATGTGAAAGGATACTGAAGGTAAATGAAATAGGTGAAAGATCACAAAGGTGCTAATGAGACAGATTGGTAAAAAAAAGATGAATGCAAGTATGTGTGCAAGTTGTGTGATATTGCTGGGATGAGATATCCGATGGGTTGAGATAGGATGAATGAGTGAGTGCTTTCCATGGTAGTAGTAAGTTAGTAAGAGTGTCTTTGTGAATACAAAATTTAGACTTTATTGCTCAAGTGGGGATAGGTTGAGCAGTTCGAAGAATGAGTTTGATTTGTAGGAATGTTTTTAGTTGTTTTCCACTGTCAATCTATTTTGAATGGAGCTTGGAGATTGATAAATTATTATTAATTCGCTTACACAATGAGTGGCTTAAATGTGAATGAACAACATGTATTTCGTTACTGATTTGGTTTTATTATGTTTTATTTACAGGCTGTTATACCCGAAAATGTTTCGAGTGTATTGGAAGAACATTTATGTATGAGTGGTGAATGCATTTCAAAGCTCTTCTCATCACTTCTGTTATCCTCATATTCTCCCAAGAAGTAACATTTTGAAAACACTTAGATTGAATATGATTATCCTGAGTGCTTTGTGTCAACTATATTCCACTTAAATTACTTTCAATATTTCTATGTGAATATAATTTCTGCTCTATATGTGTGAACAATAGGTATGTGGGTGCACACATCTATTGTGATGTCTTCAGTCAGTTAGCTTTTCTGTGATTATCATCTCCAGCTTCTCTGTCAACTTTCATTCTTCCCTGTAGTATCCTACAGGAATGTTGAAGAGCATTTATGATGCATTTATTGTGTTTTATTTGTATACTTCGAATACACTATCTATTTTTGGAATTATTGTTTATACTTTTTTCTAGTTGGAGACGACTATGATTATGGAAGAGTCTGTTGTTCTCTTTTTGTACATTAAACACATAACGATGATCTTATTGATTAAGTTGGCAGTATTTTTTTTATGGAGCAGTTTGTATGCAGCATTTAAGAATTTCGGTGGGAAAAACGCCTTTTGACTTGTAACATTCCAATTTTGGTTTTTTCTCATCTTATCTTCGCATGTATAGAGATACAGTGGTTTTCCTATTTTCTACATGAAAATATAAAACTGCATTTATTGATTTCATTTCTACACAGTGTGTTGGTTTTCACTGGTTTGGGAGATTGGTAGCTACACCGCCTGGTAACCTAACGATATGGGGTGAGGTGATGGTGATGGTCGTTGTGGTGGTAGAGCGTGTTGACCACTTGACTTATTTCGGAGGGGACATCAGTGTTGATGGACTACTCTACTGCCGCTTATCAGATGCAGTGATAACTGAGGGTGCGTAGGTGGTATAGTGGTTAGGACGCTCGCCGACCATGCACATGGTCTGGGGTTTGATCCCCGGCCGACGAACTCCTTTACCTCGCCGAGCCAGAAATAATGCTGGCAAAGAGGAAAGGTTGGGCATGAGGCTAGCAACCCCATCCTGTAAAATAAACATTGCTACAGAAACTTCAGGCTACTAGCTTGAAGCCCTATGTTCCACTGGGGAACGTGAAGGAAAAATAAATAAAAATAAAGTGATAACTGAGTCGCTATTCTAGATCAGTGGAGGAGTAATATGGAATAGAATAGAGTAGGATAAAGTGTATTCACTTTATCCTGTCAGTATCTTGTTAACTGTTTAACAAACTGATAAATGAAAGTCTAACACTTCATTTTGTCTGAGCAACACAGTTTTAAGGCAACGATGAATATTAAGCCAATTATACATGAAGGGATTGTAATCTTGAGTTAGTGAAGTCTTAGGAATTACTTACGTAATGCAGTCAAATTTTTTCGGATGAAGGCAAAGACATGGAGAAGATATTGAAGTCAATCAATATGAATGTTACGGAAGTGACAAGAAATTATGGATGAATAAAATATATAAACAGTTGAGAAATTCATCTCATTTAGTTGAATTGAGACATTTGGAATAGAGGAAGGCTTAATACATGGTGTGGTCACTTAGTAGTAGTGAGTGAAAATCTATATTTATATCTTATTAAATTTGGCACAGGTAATGTAGGTCGAATGGTCAAGAAGTCATGAAGAACGAGGGAGAGGATTACTACGCCTAATATTCAGATACATAAATAAGACCTTAACCTATCCAATGCGATGACCTCTTTGGATGTCAAGAGGCCTGATTCAGCTTGTTTACTTATCAAGAGCCTGTACTGTAGTTATTCAGGGGTGTAAATGTGCAAGTGTAATTGACAGCGAATGTGAGAGGTTATTGTCAGTTGGTAACAAGATGAGTCATAGGGTAATAAAAGTAACAGTGTGCAGAAATCAGTGAATAGCCTTACGTAAACGAGAGAATTGATACCTAATTAGTTGAGCGATGAGCAGTCATTTGGGGATAACTAATAGGAGAGAATAGACTGGAATTATTAGGATTATGTTACAGAAAGATAAAGAGATTTCATGGGAGCTTTCATGTAAGAAAGCGGGAAAATAAAATTACGTCTAAGGCTTATATTAGTAAAACAGGCTCTATGTTGGTTTTTCGATCCCTGACTGCTTAGAGAAGAATGTCTTGGTCTCACTTTATATGTGATACCGAGTAAAGCCTATACTGTTTGTGTACTATACTACGAGAAATAATAATGTTCTGAAGAATGGAGATGTTAGCTGTTCTACTTCCTGAGGAAAACTGTGCTGATAGGTGTTCGTAAAGTGGTGTAGACAGACAGTGACTTGGTGGTACACCCGATATATTTAAATTTTGAGGGACAAGTGAAGTGGTGGAAATGCAATGAATTGGCCAATAGTAGGATATCTATCGTCTCTGAGGTTATGTTGGATGAGAGGAAGACATGTGAAGAACGTGATGCGTAGAGGTCGAGCAAATGTCATTCTTTGAACAGCTGTTGGTGACTGCTTCGGTGAACTGCACTAAGTTTCAATTCACTCTTTCTTCGGTACATGCAAATTTTGAGAGACATCGGTGTCTCATTGAAATGTTTATTGATGAATAAGCCTGGATATCCATTGTTGATTAGTATGCTTGAAATATCCCAATTCGGTATGCAACGTAGGTTCTGTGAAAATTCTATAGATTGCAGCTACAAAATAGGTTATGCATATTTATCATGTTACCTGCAGCATAATGAGACATCTCCTATGTGTAATGTGGCTGCCTGATGATCAATATTTCTATTTTTCGTGGTAGATTCAAAGTGATCATATCATTCACTATACAGAGATCACCAACCACGCACATGGTTCAGGGTTCGATCCCTCACCGACTCAATCCTTTACCTCACTAAGTAGGTAATAGGACCAGTAAGGAGGAAAGGTTGGGCATGGGACTAGCAAACCCATCCCAAAGAAATAAATACTACTGCTTATGAACTTCAGAGCATTAGCTTGAAGCCATATGTTCTAATGGCAACGTAAAGGAACAGAAAAGAAACAGAGATCACGTTGGCAGACTCTAGTAGCTAGCATACGTCAATTTTATGAAAGAACATTTTCGCAACCTGGGGTGTTTTTGATACGTTCTATGAATAACTATAATTCTCTATAGCTTTATATCAGTGTAAATGACATCCACCATGTATAAAATGGTAGATGATTAAATTCCCCAACGCGGTGAAGAAACATTGAGGTTTCTGAGTGCTTCAGTGTTTGATGGGAATGTAGTAGATATTATGTTAATAGGAAGTCAACTGAGGTTGTATTTTACTGATCATATTCAAGTAATCTTAACTACAAAGTGATGACAATTCAGTGAAGTGACTACCACTAACCCATCGAATAAATCAGTGCCAGCATGGAGACCAGTTGTCTTTCAGGTGTGATGAGAACATGCAAATGATTATCTTCTCACCAAAATGTAAAATTCTAGTGATTATTACGTAACGATTATATAACTGTATTAGTTGAAGTTGAGAAGAGAGAATTGTTTGTAATCTGTGAGCAGTGCTCAATGTAGTGATAAATATACATGCGTGGCTTTTACAACGTCTACGTTCTTGTTAAGTAATATCCAGTGATTAGTTTTTCTTATTCAATATATTTTGCTAGTTCAGATTGACCCAGTTGGTGGGGTGGGTATACAACTTTTCATGAGCTATTGTCAGTCAATGAATGACTTCAAATATACAACGTGACATTTCCTGGTGTTTCTATGGCCATTGTGATTACAACTCATCCATTAGATTGTTTGTGTCATTACGTAACACCGATACACTAATTCAACTTCAACTACTTTAAACTTCTTGAGTTGCCATGTTGACGTACAAGCTTACACTGTTTATTAGATTTTTCTGTCTTCTCTCACCACCCCCAACTTTTTTTCATATAAATTGATAGTAACTTAATATAAATATTGTAATACTTACATTCCGATTGCGTCCATCTTATATTGTTTTCTCTATTGGCTGTCACACGCTCAAGTATGAAATGTTATTGTTTATAACCATTGTAACTTCAGGTAGTTTGGAGGTAGGTGATGAGAACCTGTGAAATAGAATGATTTCACTTCTTATACTGCAAATGTGGTCTTTCTTTCTCTATCGAAATTTATCAAGGGAACCAAATGTATGAAATATTCTCTCTCTACTCTTCTGTATTGATTTAGGTCAGGAAGTATGATTCTGACAACTTGTCACTGTTTCTACTATCCTTTTTGGTGAGACAAACAACTCATGACATCAGTGGTTAGTAATCATCAAAATCTTGTTAATCATGTGTATTCCTAGACATGATATGATCATGACTCATAATGACTCTAGTCATCTCATTTTAGATGAGTCATCACTTCTCACCAATGTGGTATATAATATTTGGAAGTGATTTGTATGCATGTGTGGTGTGAAATTCACAACAGCTGACTAACATCTTTCTACCTTTAATAAATGTTTGCCTAATAACTGCTTCATTAAAGGCGGAGAAGAGTTTTAAAGCCTCATTTTTTAACGTGATTACTCTGATGTTTACGGTTAATATGAACAGTAGTTAATTGAGACTCTTATCTTAGATAAGAGTGTATGCTTTATTGTCACTAAGTGCTAGATGGCGGCGATCGTTCATGAATTTATATTGGAGAAAAGCCAAAGTATTTTCAATAGACACCTGACGTGTCTGTTCGAATTTTCGAGGTCTAATGAAATGAAGCTATAGAAGCGTCTGCATCATAAAAGTTCAGCTTCGTTGTTCAGTGACTGCTCTCGAATCCTGTCAGGTGAAATATACTCAAAAGCACTCCATGTCGGCACTGGCAAACTATTACAGGATCAATCATTAATTAATACCAGATATGCTTATTTGAAGATTAAGTATTTGGAAACCTTGATTTTCTGGGCAATCCTTTCAATATGAAGATGTTTATTGCCTAATATTTTGAGTATATACAATTGTTCGTTGTAACTTTACCTAAGATCTGAATAACTGATTGATGAGTGCACTTAACAGGCTAAACGACTCCGTGTAAGTAGAACACTGAGAAGCATTCAATTTAATCATGCTCAGCATTCTGTTATTGAATGTTTTATTCTATCCTGTCAATATTATTTTGTTATGACCTGAAACAGTCACGTATAATGTGCCAGACTGCAAAACATAGTGATAAGGATTTGGAATCTTCAGGCGGTAAGCAGTCTTCTGTTGCCTGCAAGTCTGCATTGCCCAGCATTTATCTAAACTGATATTCCAGATTTCGGGAATTCTATGGATGATTGTCATTTCATTATTTTTTTTCTCTAAAATGTCGTATGGAATAACCTCGTTTGGTTTGGGGGAAGTTCAGCTTTCACCGATTCCTGAGAATTATGCTGTCGCCTTTAAGTGACACAAATTTATTAGGAATTATGACAGTTTTTCTTCTTAATATGTCAAAAGTATATGGTTTACCCAACAATTCCATTTTCAGCAAAAGAACAATCAGCAGTTAATTTGTGATCCTATATGTCCAAACGAAGTATCTATGTGAATGTAACACGTGGCCCTTAAGATAAGAATGATGGAATAAAGTTTTGCAACTTTATCACCAAATACCGGACTCACTGGACTGGATTATTTCAGTGGGGTATGGTATTTTCCTAATGACTCATGTGTAGGATATGTTG